AAAAAATAGATAAATTGGATTCCATTAAAATGTAAAACTTTTCTTTTAAAATAAACCCTACAAGGTGTAGACTTCTAATTATAAATAAGTCATGGGGATGAGAAGCACAGTATAGAGAATATAGTCAATAATACTGTAATATCTTTGTATGGTGATAGTTTATATTGAAAAAAACCTACAAGAAATTAAAAAAAACAAGACACAGACTAGAAGGAAATACATGCACATTATATATTTTATAAAGGGCTTGTACTGGAAATATAAGGAACTAATAATTCAGTGAGACTACCCAAATAAATAATGGGAGAAATAGATATTTCATCAAAGACAAATGTATTGCTTATACCATCTGAAAATATACTATCATTATCATAAATTATTAGGAAAATGTAAGTGAAAACAAGATATCATCCACACCCACCCCAAAAAGACACACATCACCAAGTGTTGTCAATGACAGACATCACCAAATGTTTGCCATGACACGGAGGATGTGGAAACCCCTGGGCACCACTGGCAAGATGTAATGCGGTACAATCACCTTGGAAAACTATGTGGCAGTTTCCTAAATAGTTAGACTTATGAGGCAGTCTGACAATTCCACTTCTAGAAAACATTAAAAAATATCAAATGCCCAAACTAAAACATTAATGCAAATATTTTAAAAAGTGGGAAAAACCCAGTGGATAAACCAATGTAGACTATCCAAACAACAAAGTGGGAAAAACCCAGTGGATAAACCCAGCAGATAGACTATCTAAACAACAGCTACTACTTACCAATAAAAGAGCAACTACTGATATGTGCTACAGTAAAAACCTCAAAAATGTTGGTAAGTAAAAGGAGCCAGACACCAAAATGGCGTACTATCTATAGTACGATTTATATGAAAGGCCCACAAGAGGCAAACAGAGACAGAAAGAAATCTCCCATTGGCTGAGAGAGGAGTCTTAGAAGTGGATATTGCTGGAAGAGAACTTTTCACAATGATTGAAATATTCTAAAACAAGGTGGTGTTGATGGTTGCACAACTCCATGAATTATTAAAAGTCATTGATTTGTACACTTATAATATGTACACTTATGGTATGGAAATTACATTCCATTAAAGCAGTTAAAATAATAATAAATAAAGAGCTATCTACATGTGGTATTGCCATTAACTCAGATCCACTGAGATCTGTTATATTTTCCCCATTTCTAAAAGTCCTTAAAGACAGGTGACTAATGAGTAGTAGAAAAAGAGCCACTATTTCCACAGAAGCCACTGCTATCTTTTGAACCTAAACATTTTTAATGTTATTCACTATAACATTTGCTAATTAGTCTTTCTAGCCTTGCAGATGCACCCAGTCCATTATGGAAATATACATAAGCAAATATCTTTTTTGAAATCAGAAGAATTTCTTTGGCTTCTTTCAAACAGCTGTGTTTCTGAAGCCATAAGATGGAGTTCTAAATAAAAAAGAAAGAAAGGCTCATTTCTTGAGCATTACATTTTGTTCTTTTTTCTGATCATTCCTCTCTAAGAGAAGGGGAAATAACATTACAAGATTTTGGACTACATTCACTTGTAATTACGTGAGATACATCGAATTGGTCTTATTTTACAGATGAGCAAACTTACTCTCTAAATTTAAGTAAATGGATAAAGCAAGTTGGATTCTAACTCAGGTCTTTATCATTGCAAAACTCATTACCTATTCTCTCCATTGTTCTTGTGCTTGGTTGAATAAAGACTTTCAAAACCATTATACAGCTTTACAGCACTTATAATTACATCTTTGAAGTTTACAATTAAAAGTTAAAAGATCTATTTTTTAAAAAGTATGGGCCATTTATCAGAAGATTGTATGCATGTGCTTCTCTCTGCATATATCACCAAAACATAAAGAGATCTGTTACATTTGGAGATCAGGGACTTTGTTCCATTCATGCTATTCACTTAGTGACCAACACAATGTAAATCAAACCAGGGATGTTCAATGAGTAAGTATTAATGAATAAAAAATTTCAAGTGTATCCATTATGAGTTATAAAAAAATTATAAAATATATTGATGGATAAGTTGTTTATAGAAAGGAAAAAGCTTACTTGTACCTTTTTTAACCTCTATAAATATCCTTTTATCAGTGGTTCTCAAATATTTTGGTTTTAGTGAGCCATATGTACTCTTTAATTTTTACATTATTGCAAATCTGCTTAATATTGAGCTAAACAGAAGACAGCTGAATTCTTGCATCTGCTCTGTATATAATCTGTGGTGATGTCACACATTGTGTAACTTCTGAACACCTCCACTGTATATTTACAAGAAAATGACAGTGCAAAGGCAAATGTTGCCTTAGTATTACTATGAAAATAGTTTTGACTTCGTGGACCCCCTGAAAGAATCTTGAAACCATGAAGGTTCCCTGCTCATACCTTGAGAACCATACAGGAAAAACAATAAAAAGCCACTTTCTATTCCTGTCTCCTGTTTTGAAATTATTTTTGCTTCCAATAAATAAAAATATGTTTTTTATTAGGTATGATTAATTTACACAATTCTAATAAAGTATTTTAATGCTATACCCAGTTAGAATGGTTTATTAAAATACTATAAATAACAGGCAGTATTTCTACTCTCAATAGTTAATACATCTAAAATGAAAATTCACTAATGACCATCTGTTTCTCTGCATGGGAGAACAGATATATATTTCCTTCTTCACTCAACCCTTGCTTACTTACATCCTCATCATGTTTTACAAAGGCAGAAAAATTAACTTAGATAGCTTTTTCACTATTGAATGAAGCTACTGGACATTGTTCTTTTCTTCTGAACATGAAAAACACACAAGAATTAAAAATTATTCCTATTATAGAAAATTTCATACATATAAAAGAGGAGTGACAAGACTATATCTCATTGTGGTTAATCCTACAGCTCCAATAATTATCAAACCATGGTCAATTCTGTTTCATCTATTTTTCCACCATTCTCCACACAGCTAATTTTACAGCAAATTCCAGGCAACATATTATTTCATCTAAATCTTTTAGTATGCATTTCTAAAATAAATACTTTTAATTATTATTTAAAATGTTAACATAAGAATGGTAATTACAGCTAAATATAACAGTAAATGCTGAGTATCACCAAGTCAGTCAAACTTCTGATTGAGCAGCAAATGACAGATATTAGCCAGGGGTGCAAATGCTCTATGACAGTGTTTGCCTGCCACTAGGTTAGAACTTCCAGACTCTGTTTGCCAAAGATTTTCATCTTTGGCTCTAGCCTAGCATATACATATACTTAAATCCCTTTAAGACACTGAGGACTTCTTTAAAAATAATACAAATAGTTTCAAAATATTTAATTTAGTATGAGATTATGCTACTCAAGGATACATGGAAAATATATGCAGCACTAATCAAGGCATGGCAAATATTATGGGAAAATACTTCTATTATTATTTTAGGCAAATGGAAAAAGAAAAGGAACAGAAAGATGATACAGTATACTCCTAGTACATTTATTGTTTAAAACAATAATCTTTTCTCATTCTGCAAAATTTATATAAAGGGAAAACTGACTTTAGTTCTCAGAGTATAATATTTAAAACAAGAAATTCATTACTCCTACATTTAAAAAATCTTTTCCCAATTGTAGTAGAAGAAAACAAATTAAAATAATGAGTTCTAAAAGATAAATAATAAGGTTGAGGGAATAATTACTATACTATTATATAAAAACAATAAAACAGCTAGAAAATAGGTACATTGATATAGAGTCCTGATGATTTTGTAAAAACAGTTTGAAGATTTATGTTGTATGCCCTTAGAAAATTAATTTGGCATTGCTAGAAATTACTGTTATTTTGCTTTATGAGCTGCAGGGAATTGAAATAGTTTGTAGCAAGTAATTATTTCTACAAAAAAGAACCTCTGGATTTTAAGATTCACCCCTGGAATTTTCATCAGTACTTAAAATATAGTCTGCCTGCAATAAAACTATGAAAGGTTGAGTTATCTGTTTCTGGCAGAAGAAAAATTATCCAATCTTAAAAGGAAAACAAAATTAGATTCCTAATCAATTCACTGTCTATGAAAATAAAGAGAGGAAAATTGCTCAAAGCAAAGCCTGTTCCACATTCACATACTCCATAGTCTAAAATCTGTACAGAACAATAACAAGTCTCTGAAAAAAAACAAGGACCTCTTTTTGTTCTTTTTTCATATCAGACATTGAAAAAAAAAACCCTCCAGGACACATACTATGTTAGATACACTACCTATACATATATCCATACATCTGCATGTATATTTATGAAGATTTTCTGTTGATATACAGTGTCTATGAACCAAAGAATACAGCTGAGTGAGAATATAGGTATTATTCATATTTTAAAAATTAACTTTGACAAAATGTATATTTTGTTCTCCAGATTTAAATAATAGAAGTTGTGACTTACAATATAAAAATCCCATTACCTTTCCAAAACAGAGTTATTTTAGGAGGGTCCAAAATTATTTCAAAATAAAAGAGTTTTAAAATTCAGTCATAAGCTTTGGTTTACAGAAGGACACAAACAAACATACAAACAAAAATTCCGCTTAAGTGATAATGTACAATTGACAAGGTACAGGGAAATGTATTTCCTAGAAGAATCCAATATAGTTTTTTACTTCCTGTGTAAGAATGGTCTAAAGTCCTAAAATCAGTAACCATATTACTCAATAGAGCAATAATTATGGAGCACTGTACTGCCATGTACATTTTTAAAAATGCAGTTAAAGAATGATCTAAATATGCACCATCAAGCAATTTGTCATATTAACAATCATGCAATTGCAGTCTTTCATGTTCAATGTATAGCTTACTTTTGATAGTTTCCAAAATAATTTTTATACAAAAAAGTTCTCTAAAAGTTAATGAGTCATCTAAACTGAGAACCAAATACATATCTCAACACAGCATTAAAATAAAAAGGACTAGGTTATTTGATTTCCTTTACCTGAAACTGTGTGATCCTTAGAGTCTCTTGTTATTTTTATCCTTGCATGAGGAAAGATGTAGTGCACGGTCTTTCCATTCATCTGTAAAATCTGACATACATGTGATGAAGTGAAAAATCAATGTTAAAGATACTTAAAATCCAACATACATAATTAGACTTGTTTTTTTTAAAAAAACACGTTGAATCAATGAAAATCAAAATAAATTAAGATTGTCAAATGATCACACCTTAAGCATCTTGCACTATATAATTATATTATCTGTTTCTGCACTCTACGGTCTTCATATTTATAAGCAATTTCTCTTGCAAACTGATTTGTTGTGTTCAGGAAATTAATAAGCACATGTAATAGGTTCTAAAGGATGTATGTTACTGCATCACAGCATAAACAGTGATGACAGTGGACAGAGAACATATATGAAAAACTGACAGCTGCTGATTTTGCTTCAGATGGCCTAGAAATGGAAAGGTATTTTTAATTTTCCTAGCAATTAAGTGATACGAAGGGAGAAAAGCCAGAGAAGATCCTCATACTCCACATCTCTATCACTAGAATAGGATTACTTTTATTTGTCTTGCTTTAAGTTTATTGCAGGATCGTGCTTTTGCTGAACACACCTACTAGAAGTTTCAATGTACACTGGATGCTGAGGCTAATTCTGTACAAATAAATAAAGTGCTCATTCTAATACTTTGTGAAGCCTTCTTTGTATTCAGAATTGTGTTCTTGATGGCATTCTCATTTACTGTTGACATTCCTTCTGGAAAAAGAAGAAACACTTAAACTATTGTTGCAAATCTGTGATTTCAATTCTCATTATTGAGACTTGAATATGAGAAATGAGATTTCTGAAACAAAAGTAAAGTAGTGAATGCAAACTTGTGCATTACATTACATAGACCTTGCATTTATAACAAACCGATGAAATGAGAGACAGAAATAGTGGAATATTTCATTGTATCTATATCAACAGGACTTTATTAGAATGGAATCTTGTAATTGCAGCACCTTAGGAAAAATTTTGACTAAAATTACAAATGAAAGTAAGTTAAGTGGAGACATTCAACACTACCCATTTCAGAACAGATTTAAGAAGTATGTGAGAATTCTAAACCAAAACATTAAACAGAATTTAGAATCAAAGAGATGTACATTTTGTGAAGAAAGATTCCTTAAATACCTGTGTGGTTTTAATGTGCTTTTGTAAAGTCAAGCTGTGAAGCTGTTAGAATTCTACATGTTAAAAGTAAAATATGTATGGAAAAAAGGGCAAGTTTAAATTATATCCTTTAGCTTTTATTCTCTTCTGGGAAGAATAAGTTTAGTCAGGTTTCTGATGAACATAAATACCCCCCCCAAAATATCATAATCCTGTTGATCCAGACATAATGTGAATACTGAAAAGTAAAAAATAAAAAATATTGTTTCCAAGATTATAAAAATATTATGGTCAGTAGAGTTTGTCAACCTATAGATCATGCATACCAATGCTACATTTGTAAGTCACTGAAAATCTTGTTTATAACAATGTTTTCCTTCTTTCTTATTTCTCCTTCTTTCTCCCTCTTTTGCTTGTTGTTTTCCCTTCTTTTTCTCTCCCCTTTTAATTTCTCTACCCCCTCCTTACTTCTTCTGCTTTCATATTTTCTCATTCTTCTCTCCTAGTCTTCTCCTTCCTCCCCTGATCTGCATTTACAGATCTTTTTTACTAAAAGTTAAACCATGTGTATTGAAAATTCTACAACTATTGTATATAAAACTTTACTCTGGCATTATAGATAATTAAAATTGGTGGATATTCTTTCAATGTTACTTCAAATATCTATGACTTTCATACATCATTTAATTTGAAAAAGTCCCTTTTTTTCCACTTGGCCAAAGATACACTAAGAAAACAGAACTTTGTCTTTTGCTATTCTTTCCAATTCCCCAGACCAGGGAGAAGTTGATGTAATCTCGTGGTCGACCTACTGCACAAACTACAACAGTAGAGTCTCTCAAATTTCTCACCAGTTTTATAAGCTGGCCAGTATTGCCTTTTGATTTGTACCTATGATGACATTAGTAGAAGGGACGGTAATCATTATTTTTGTAAATGGTAAGGGCATCTCAAAGAGTCTCCGTAGTTTCAGAGCTTGCCTACAACCAGCTTCATGAATTCACTTAGCAAATTGAAAACATTAAACTGCTATAATTATGATCAATGTGACCAAGAGTCTGTAGAAAGCAGTCATCCATCTCCCACATAGCTGGATCTTGGCTTTTTCCTAACCCTTGTAGACAAATGTTGAGTTTGTGGCAAAGGGGTTTCAGAGCAGGCACTTCTGCCCAAGGAGTGCGTGGATGAGGCCAGAGGGCGGGACTGCTGCCAACAGCACCCTGACCTCTCATCCAGAGGCTGGCCTCCGCTGCCTCTGTCATCTGGTGCTTCTGCACTGGCAGAACTACCACCTTTATGTCTCCTAGAAAAGGGATTCTTCCTCTTCCCTACCTACAAGTATTTCAAAAGGATTTATTTTCATGAATTCAATCTTCATACTTCTGAAATAATAAACTTTTGTGTTAGGCTATCTTTTACACAGATAGGCATCCTTTTCTTCACTCAAATACCATGCATAGACAGTGCCCTTCTGGGGGATGCAAGCATTGTGCTAACACTTGAGGTATATCTGGTGTGGATGAAGAGGGAGACTCTTCTCTCTAGGAGCTCACCGGGACATGATGCATGCAGTACCTGAGCACAAAGGAAGGACACTTGTCCCAGATTTGTAGGGAGGCGCTGGTGGTGTCAGGGATGGGGCTTTGCAGAAGGTGTGGGCGTTAGCGTGAACAGTGGAGGCATTCTGTACTGGTCAAGAAGTGTTGACCTTTACACCTACCATGGGAGGGTTATTAGCCCTATTTAAAGATGAAATAACTGGGGAAAATTTTTTTTAAAGAGGCCTGGTGAGCTATTCAATTTACAAAGCAAGAGTTGAGTTTCCACAGACATATATGTATATATATATTTGCATATAACATATATGTATCTGAAAGGAAACAAATACAGATTTGCATGAGGGTTATTTTTATAGTTAATATGATTTTGAGTCTAATAAAACATTTAGGATTTTTTGACTCTAATGTATGTTTTACATAAGGTATTTCTAAAAGCAGATAAATTAGTTTTGCATTCATTAGTCAATTCGGTTTTATTATTTTTGCCTTCAGAGAATTTTATGAGCATAAATTCCTGTTATGCATAAATTTTCAAATAAAAGCATCTGGGTTTATTGGTACCAAGAGCTCTATATCACCTTTTTATGATTACAGATGCAAAGAGGTGAATAAAATGAGAATGCTATATTGCTATTCTCTCCAGACCAAAATGTAGTTATAATGAGTTTATGCAGGAAACAACGAAGATAAATATTAATGCAAAAACCATGAATTTTGAACTTCATATAAATGTAATCAAAGCATATGTTGTCTTCTATGTAGTTTCTACTTAGAAAAAACTATAAAGAAAAACAGAAATTACTGTCACAAAATCAACATATTTGTTATCTTTTTGGGGGACATTGAGGATTACAATCTGGAAGGGGCACATTGGGGCTTCTGAGGGCAGGCAATATTCCTTTTTCTTGGTCTGTGTTGTGGTTATTTGGCTGTTCATTTTATAACTAGTTTATAAATCTATATATTTGCAGTTTCCAAAACTGGATATACAGTGTTTTGTTTGTATGTTAGATATAAAAATAAAAATGAAAAAATTATAAAAATACAAAAATAACCATTAGCTAGAAAATAGACATTACTTTATTACATTCACCTACATATAAACCTAATGAGGATACTTACATTGTCTTCTTTATGAAAAATGGCAAGAAATACATTAAATGACTTTAAATATACCCTCTCTGTATAATTTTGGCATTATATTGGTCTATAAGTATATATTTTTAAACATAATGCACTATATGCTCTGGATCAAAACCATAAATCTGTTGATTTAGTAACAGAAGATTAGGAACAAAAATGTCATTAGGGCTTTTAATGTTTCATGTACATATAAAATAATAGGATTTTAGAAAACATTTTTTTTGAGGTGGACACAGATTGCTTTAAAATGTATCATCAAAAAGTATTATTTGGATAAATTAGTTGAACAAGACTAACCTGAGTATCCATGGAATTAGTAGTGTCAGGAAATAAATATGGAAATTGCTATTTTTTAACTCTGAAATTATGTATTTAATCTTATTGAGATTTTTTTACAGGGTCTGTATTTTCACTGGCTCTATCTAGGTTTTGGAAATGTTAAACTTCAAAGAAACAAATGAGACAGGTAAGATATAAAAGTAAGTCAATATAGAGAGAATTCTAATAATAAAATATATTCAAGGAAGTTATTTTCAGCTGAAAAATTTTTTAGTAATTGTTAATAAAAAGAGGTAAATTTACATTTTAAAACATGTTCAGAATTTCATTCGTTTTTCTCATTCTCCAGCCAAATCTATTTGATGAGATTGAAATTTGATAAATTGAAATAAACTACTAATGCAATTTTAAGAATAACAAGATAAGCTAATAAAAGTATAATTCAGTAGTCTGAGACATTAAGGTGAAATACAAAGAAAAGGAAGTATACTGATATTTTATAGAGGTAAACCCACCCTAAACCAAAAACTTACTAAAGATATCAAAAAATAAACAGAGTATTTACAATATCTAGAGAAGAATCCCAAGATCTAGAAAATGACAGCATACAGAAAAACAGAACAAAATCCTGAGAAAAGGAAATTCTATTCAACAGCTAGAAATTGGTCCATGAAAACTGAAACTGTTTAGAAATAAATCACATCTAAGAGTATAAATATTATCTTTTAGACAGTACTTATATGTGTGTTTTTTTCCTTTACATCTTAAAGTGACAAATATTGAAATTATAATCACTCATGGTTCATCTTCATTGTTCAAAGCATTAGGTCATCTATATCAACAAATTACTAGCCAACACAGGATGATTTAGGAGTTAATGTACATTAAATATTAGTCAACTATCTTTTTTGTGGGTGTTTTAATGATTATGAGTACATCATCTGCAAATATCTGATCTGTTAAGGCTATTGATTTACGGCTGCATGGCTGACCAGGGAAATCTCCCTCAGTTTATCCAACTGTTGATCTCCTCATGTATCTTAAACTATCCAAGTCCATTTTACCCAGTATTCTATAAGCTCTTCAGGAATTTCATGCATTCTCCTTGTACAGCAGTGCTGGGTATGTTGTACAAACTTAATTATCTGTTGGAGGAATGAGCCACTTAAATTGCCTGGTAGAAACATTCACAGCTGTGCTACAGGGTTGAGAAGTCATGCCTGGTGAAGGAAGGCACTAACTACTTTATGTTCCTGAAAATAAAGTCATTGTGAACTTTATTGACAAAAGTCACATGCATTTTAGAATAACTGAGACCATGCTAACCTGAATTGGCTGTGTTTTGTGTGTGTGTGTGTGTCTGTGTTGGGGGGATAAATCTAAGAGAGATTGTTCAATAATTCACTTACTTGCTCTTGATGTTGACTGAGTGGTCTAGAGTGGACCAATCTTTCTGGTAGTTTTCTATCCAGACCATGTCCATTATCCAAACGAGACTCCCTGGGTTTGTCAAACCAATCTGTTTCTTCACGACGCAGGTGATAGGCTTTGGAGACCAAGGAAATATCAAACATTGCAACCCCAACTAATACGGATGACGGGGGGAAGTAGATATTCTGAAGAACCAACATGCTCCAGGCTTGTTAACCACTCATGCATTTCAAACACAATGCCCAAAGGGATGAGAAAAATCATTCATTATGTTGAAAATTTTGTACCATGGAATAACC